ACGATATCCGCTTCGTCATGTCTAGAGCTGATCTGTGCTGGTCGCTGAGGGAATACATCAACTTTCACCGTGGACAAAGCGGAGTCCAGCCCGGGGTCGTCACATGTGGCTGCCGCTCCTTCGTCGGATCCGCTGGCCGCGCCGTTCTCAACCCCGCCGCCTCTGCTCACCCTAGCCCGGCCTCAGCTCACGCTAAGCCGCGGCTTCCGCTCATGCTAGGCCGCCGTGTTTTTCGTTGTGAAAGCGAAACTACTTTGTTTGGTCTTCCAAAAGAGGACACGACTACAAATCAGTGGTTAAGTTGTATTTACAACACAGTTCCAGAACAGTTTAACCCAAATATCCAGATGTGTGCAGCACATTTTATGAAGGACTGTTTACTGATCCTGGGAGAGTAGACTACAATGCCGGCTGTTCTGACTCACAGTCTGTAAGTACGTTTTCATTTAAAGGATTTGCCACTGATGATTCAAACACTAGTGTCTAGAGTAGCACTTGTTGTTTGTCATTTCTCCGATCACAAATGCAGACAGGGTTTTATGTTTACGGCGCGATGCAACGCAACGCGTAAAAAGACAGTATAAGTCATTATAATCAGTAATTATGTCCCCACTGGACGCAACAAATGCCTCGTTTGTAATGGGTTTTAAAGTTTTGTCTCGTCGCTCCGGCCGGACACGGCATCAACAGTATGTGAGGGGCGTAACACTTTAAACTGCATAAACACATTTCATTACACCAAATACACAAAATAATGTTCTTTTTAGCAACACCATGGACGGAACATTTAAGGGCACCTCCCATCCAATATACCAATATCCAATCCAATGCCATCCAATAAGCATTGTGCTTTGGTACTTTTAATATGAAACAAAGTCTCAGATTTCAAATTCTGTCCATTGTATTGCAGTATTCAAACAACAAATGCCGTTTTGGCGCTGTTTAATGTGAAGTGACAGATCGTTGTAGCACCTCAGATCAACAGATGCAGCAGCGCGAGTGAACTGATCATCTCCTCCACATTAATACCAGTTTCAGCACAAAATAAACATGACTAAACATCCGAAGGTAAGTTAAAAGAAAGAGAACAACTTAAAAATCCATATCCTGTAATGTGTCACGTAACGTCACATTTACCTCAGAAAAAACATATTCGGTGACCATAAACTCAATCAGATATAAATAAACTGTAGAGAGGGGCATTTAGCTAAATATATGCACCATATAACATATTCATTATAAATTGTACTGTTCTTCAATGTTTAATTTATGTTTGAATAAATCCATCAAGTTTTTATGACAGCCACCATTATTTTTATATTTAAAAAAAATGAATTGAAGTAGAAATATGTAATTGTAACTTTATTATTTTAAAGTGTAATTAAGTGTAATTTTAACAAATCAGTCAATTTTAACCTTCAGTATTAAAGTAATGTAGTACCAACTGACTCTCATATTTTACAGCATTAGTTGAAAGATTTTTTTCCTTGAGAAAATTTGGCATTTGCTGTACCTGATATATATCCAAAATAATCGATACTGAATCGAATCGGTAATCGAATCGAAAGTTTGTGAATGAGAATTGAATCAAATCGTGAAATTTGTGTCAAAACCCAGCCCTATTAATTATACTAATACTATAATGATGGTATTTATATGAATGTATAAATGTAGTGTCTACTTTAGGTCAACATTTATTTTAATTTATTCAGCATTCTCTAGTTCATTTTAAATGGCCATGTGGTGTGACAAATGAATTAAGTATATAACTTATACTGTCAATTATATAAATCTGTCAATTCTTATGAGGTCATAAAGCCGCAGGCATAATATTTAAGAATTTCGATTACACTTTACAATATGTATTAACTAACATTACTAACAATGAGCAACAGATTTGTTACAGTATCTATTAAATAAACTGTTCATTGTTAGTTCATATTAGCTCAGGTCCATTAAATAATATTAAGAGAAAACATTTGATTTTAATACTATTAGTAATTGTGAATTAACATTAAACAAGATTAATAAATGCTTTAGAAGTATTTTTCATTGTTAGTTCATGTTAATTACTGTAGTTAACTAATATTAACAAATGGATGCAAATTATTGTTACCAGAATTATATCTTAAAGTGTGTGTTAACTATATTAAACATGAAAAATTCATAAATCTACACCAAAAAGCAAAACGCAGAAGACATGACAGCCTTAAATAAGGGTCCCAGTTGCAATCATTTGCATTTATCCTAACTCTCAGATAAAAATAAATAAATAAAAATACTGAAATGGACATTCAAAGCAGTCATTAGCAGAATGCAAAGAAGCCCTACAAATCTGGGCCACTTCAGACAGTAAAGAGGCACATGGCCTTCATAGCCATTCAGGCCAATTACTGGGCCAAAACAACTCTGCTTTAACAGCAGCTTTACTGAAGGGAATATCCTGAATAACAGACGAGCCAGGATGGGGGGGGGGGTTAGGTGGACAAAGAACTTCACAAGAATGGTGGGGTAACAAACTGAACCTCAACCCACAAAAAAGCACATATTTGACCCTTCAAGAAATGCAATTATTTATCTCCCATTTTTACGTAATAAATTGATATCCATGTTATTATTATTACCAATTACTATTATGGCAAACTGACACACCCTGCATAGACAGTTCAGATAATTAAACACTCAACAGCAGAGAGAGAGCTTCCTCAGCTTTAAAATGAGGTCAGGAGTCTTACACACCACATTTCTGTTTCACTCACTGATGATGGCAGAGTGGGGTGCCTTTTTGTTAAAGGGGGTACAGATTACATATCAGCGCATGCTTGAATACATCCTCTAATAGGATACCATTCCACGGTGCCAGTTTTATGAGGTGATCTAACAGAAGCCAAATGCTCAAACAGATCTTGTGTGTAACTCTTCTGGGTAACACCATGAATCAACACCGAATCAGTCCAAAAAAGGAACTAAATTAACACATTACACGAAAAAGTGATTTAAAAAAAAAATCCACCCATTGGAAGTTTGATGTCATTTGGCCACACATAGCACTGCTCATATGTAACAGTCATTAGTGACTGATACTAGAGCAGCAGAGACTAAAAATATACCTGGAGCAAATATGGCTGCTGGTCATCACTTTTTCCATATGCAGGTACTCACACTGTTAACCCTGTCTGAGTACAGAATGAATAATTATGCCTCATTATTGAAGAGTAATCAACTGTGCATGACCACAAGTCAAATGCATCCTAAACACTGCTATTGTGTATTTTTGTTCATTATGCACACTTCAAAGAAACATGAAAGCTTCCTACTTTTATGTATAACATGTGCATAAAAGACATTGCACTTGCACCAGGTTTGATGTCTTTGTGGCATAACTGAATGTACTGAAAGTTATGACTTCAGAAGTGTTGTAATATAATGCACAAGTTGATGCGCTTATACGCTAACCCTTATTATACTGTTTAATCACTTTTTTTTTTTTTTTTACTTGACAGTATCTCTCCCCATTCACTTTCACATGCAAAAGAGCAGCCTGGATATTCTGCTAAACTTCTCCATTTGTGTTACACAGAAGAAAAAAAGTCTGGAACAACGCAAGGGCAACAAAACAGACTCTTGGTGCCCTGCATTCAGTGAACGCTCCATATCTGCTGACAGGGAGTCGCTGGTATTAGGAAACCCCTTCCTGTTCATCCACAACATTTCAATAGTCCAAGCACTGCAGATGGGACAAATGCTTGTGATCCTGACTGTCAAATACCACATTAGTGGACTCAGAATGCTGCCCTCCCACCCAAAACAACTACACTCCCCCATAAATCCCACAGACTGCTACTTCTGAGATATTTACATTATTCAACTGGACAAAACAATAAAGTATAGGGGTGATCAAGCCTTCTCAGACATAACATTTGTAGGCCATATATTGTAATTGACGCATTTGTAATATTTCTTGACCTCTCAAGTTGTTGAGTGGTATTTCCATAAATCCTAATTGGTAAAAATCAGTGCCCTATGAACGACAATCACAAAGAGTAAAATTGTACAGTGTTTCCCAGACTTACACTCAATGTGTGGCGGCACTTCACCAGGGCAAATATAGGCTATATAAATCAGCAGACGTGCTGATTGAAAGTGCACATTAATTCTCTGCCAGCAGGAGGTGCTTTAGGAGCGTCAGAAATAGCGGTTTCCCTGGTAACGGCTGTAAACAAAGCAGAGCTCCGCTCATAAACGCTGCTTTATCAGGCGTTATAGGAAAGATTTAATGAAATGAATGACGTCGAAACTTTTCTAAAGACAGTCAGTGACTTTCAAAGATACATTCATATAAAAACACCCACGCTGTGTTTTGACTTTGAAATGTGCAGAGCTCATGTTTATTCAATGAAGTCAATGCATTTTGGAAAATCTATTTGTGGCAGTCAGTGTTGATATTGTGGCGAGCCACCACAAATAAATCAATGTATGGGAAACACTGTTGTATATATTTTTTAAACGTACCCAGGAAATCCATTTCTGTATCATAGCAACACCACAGTGTTTGGATATTTTAAGTAGCTTGAAGAATCATGTAAGGTACATGGTATTGTACGTGAATAAAAACAAAAAAAAGTAGCAGCTTTTGTTTTTTGTATTTAATAATAATAGGCTAATTAAAATAATTAAATACAAAATTAAATAAAAGTTTTTACTAATATTAGTTAGACTAGCCTATTATATTTTGCTGTGGTATCAAAATTTCAGTGGTATTGAAAATATTGGTATCATAATTAGACTTGTGCCGGTATTCGGTAATGCGGTATATCACGGTAATGGATATGCATGATATTGTTATTGTGGGCACTTCTAAATACCGTGAATAATTATATATTATAAATTATTCCGAATTTTGAACGCATTTTAAGAATACTTTTCCCATCAACTGGTCAAAATGCACAACACCGCTGTATGCTGCGTGAAAGACGCACGCGCACTCTGATGTAAACAAGCGCGGACCAGAAGCACATGGCGGAACATGTGAGAGACGCTCTGGATGAAAGCGCACTTTCACTCTCTGACAGCAGATGGCGCTAAACTGCAGAAATTATAATAATAATAATTCATTTAAATACAGCCGTTACCCCGGAAACCCTGTATACAAAGCAGCTGCACTACTTTCTGTTTCTGAAAGGTGTTTAAATGATATTGGTACAACCTTCTTTCCGGGTAAAAAAAAAAATACCATGCTACTATCATGGTTGTTGAGATATGCATCATGGTATTCTTGGAAATGCTTTGTAAATATTGTACTATGTAAATAGTATGAATTTCAGCAGAATCCATCAAAGTACCATGGTATTATCATCTGATACCAGTGCAGTCCAATATTTCTGTACTTATCTGTAAGGTGAGGTAGAATGGAAATACCATGGTTTTATTAAAATATCCCAAGATCATACCATGGTACATATACGTATCATGGTATCCTTTTAAAGGTGTCATTTGACGTTGCTAAAAAGAACATTATTTTGTGTTTTTGGTGTAATGAAATGTGTTTATGCGGTTTAAGGTTCAAAAAGCACATTATTTTCCCCATACTGTACATTATTGTTTCTCCTCTATGCCCCGCCTTTCTGAAATACGAGGTGTGCTCTGATTGGCCAGCTATCTAGTGTGCTGTGATTGGCCGAATTCCTCAAGCGTGTCACGGAAATGTTACGCCCCTTACCATATGGTGATGTCGTGTCCCGGCGCGATGAGACACCAATAAAACCCATTATAAATGAGGCAGTTGTTGCATCCAGTGGGGACATAATTACTGATTATAATGACTTATACTGTCTTTTTACGCATTGCTTACAGGCTGTGAGTCAGCATTATTTGTTAGCATCATAGACTGAGGTCAGCATGCGCGCCGAAGAGGAAACGGGAACTGAATTCACCGGAACACCGGCATTGTAGGCTACTCTCCCAGGAAACAGTCCTCGTCCTCCGTAAAATGCGTTGCACACATCTGAATATTTGGTTTGAACTGTTCTGGAACAGTGTTGTAAGGACAACTTAACCACTGATTTCTAGTTGTGTCCTCTTTTGGAAGACCAAACAAAGTAGTTTCGCTTTCACAACGAAACACACATGGCGGCAGCAGCAACAATACTACAGCGAGAATCAAAGTTATGTCTTCTGTCTTCTTTCTTTGCGTATACATTTGGGCGGTGTTGATCTTCCCACATCGTGACGTAGACATGTGGGGGCATGTTTGAACGAGGCGTTTTAGGAGGGCGTGGACGAGTCTTAACTTTTATAAAGAATATCTCTTTGGGTTTGAGACTTTAGTCTTTGCAACTTTAGGGATCTTATCTATTCACGAACAGTTTGTAACACTCCAAAGAGAAAGGAAAACTTGAAATCGCATCATATGACCCTTTTAAGTACTATGTAAAGACAATAGTATATGTTCAAGTAGTATGGAAATGCCATTTTTGGACATGTAACACAAGTAACTATGACTATGGTAATCATTCCCATAATCATTGCTCAGTACCATAGTACAGTGATGGTATCAGGTGGAAATACCACAGGGGAGCAGCACACATCTGTCGGTCTAGCCAACTGTCTTTCACACAGAGTCGGTTAAGAAATAAAGAGTCTTCCCCCCTCTGTCCTGTTTTCATTCATAAACACAATCAAACCAACTCACCGATACCGAAGGCTTTGGCAAACAACCATCGCAGATTCGCCGCTATTTTGGCTCGGGCTGAATCATACATTTCCAGCGGCACGATCTCGAGCGCCTCGCCCGCCGCCTCCATCTTTCTGCGGGCGCTGTCAGCACCCAGCTCCGCGTCCATCCTGCGACCACCGTCTGCAAACACACATGCACCATCACTTTCAAACACCCTTAACGGCTCTCTTTTGTGGGTATGCGGCGTTTCATAAGCTGCATGTCAAGTGTGGTGTGTCAGGAGCTTTGGAGCAATAACTAAATTCTTTAGCGTTCGAGCTAGCTAGCACACGAGTAGCTTTTATTCCAATACTACCCACTAAAATGTGTAATAATAATAATTTCCCAGACACAAACGGCATGTAAATTTGTTACAAACAGCTACGGAGCAAAACAAACCTGACCGCCTGGATCCTGACAAGATAAGCTAGTCTGTGATTAGTTTATATATGCAAAGTAACTACCTAGCCGTCGCCCAGGCAGCTAATGAACACCAAAATAATGTATTAAATGTTCAAACACTCACATGGAAAGGTAGATTTAACCATTTGTCAGAGCTTCTGTCCTGACCGTAAACTGGTTTGCATGTTTTGACTGAAAGAGTTACCAGCAGCTAACAGCTAATGCTGCTTAATGAGATGAAGAGTAGCAACCCACAGCTAAACAACAGCCCCTTTGTCAGCAATTAATGAAAACGGCCACATTTACCGCCACGTACCTTCCATATAATGACCTATCAACAATCCACTCTGGCAAATCTGTGGTTGAGAAATGAGAGAAAAGGGTAAAAGGCTCCGGCGGGAATCATGAGGCCACGTTTAGTCCGAACAGATACGAGTGTCGGTGGATGAATGACAAACCCTTGAGAGTTACAGCCTTCACTACTACCACACTTCAAAATAACAGCAGCAAACAGAGACTGTAAATACAGTTTAAAATGCGAAGTATTCGCTATGTGCTGTTTGTGAATGACAGTTATGCAGACAGATATTGTTATTAGGCCTTATGTTGTGTTTTGTTGAGAAAAGCACACCTGTTTTACCTGTGTTTTTAAAAGACAACTGGAAATGCTTCTAGGATGATGCTAAATTCGTATAGAGGTGAGCTGAACTGATTCTTGATCTTTAATTATATCACGATAATTATTTGCTGTATTGTGTTTGGTCATGTTTATGGGCATTCCAGCCATATGGATTACACATAATGAGCACTGATAAAACAGTGTTGTTTAGGGGTCTTTATTGCAGTGTCTGTAAGTTGTGATATCCAGTTTATTAGTTGCAGATGCCTGGTGAATTTATGTATTTATCAATTTGTATTTGGGTCAAAGACGAAAAGGTTTTCAAGCATCAAAACAATAAAAGTACAATACAGCTTTTTTCTGTATATTAGAATGTGTCCCGTTTCATCTTTTTTTTTTTTTTATGTATTTTTTTTAGTAATTGTCATTTTAAATCTTTACAAATCTTTGCCTTCAAAAAAACTAGGTTTTACCCATTTGTCAGCAGGTTTTAATCATCTGAAGTATAATAAAATTTAGTATGATCACTTTTTCTTTTATTTCAATAAGTATTGTTTAATTTTTACATAAATATATCTGTTACGCTGATACCCATATTTTGACATTTTATTGTCCCAAAGGTTATTTAAAACATTAAAGTATACACTTTACATGCATTTAATATACCTGTTGTGTAAATAAAATCACTTTTGTAAATTGAAAAGAATCACCCCAAGTGAAAGATATAACACCGTGTCAGAAAAATAAAAGAATAAGTTGGAGTATGCGAATAATGACAGTAAAAAAAAATAATCATACTTTATAGCAAATAATCAGAATAATGAAAATTGCATGTAAAGTGGAGTGAAGAGGTTTGCTCGTGTCAAGTAAACATCTTACTGCGATTAAGTCTCTGATTATTGGAAATAATTGTGTTATTGGTGCACATGTAAACGTAGTCAATGGCACACAAAGCCATTTGACTTCAACTGTGGTCATTTTGATTAGCTCAGCATGAAAAGCGCTTTCCTGGAGCATTTCAGTGCTTGGTAGTGCAACTGAAGCAAACAATCAACTATGGGTGACAAGGCACAGTCAAAAGATCTCCGGGATAAAGTTGAAATCAGAAGCAGTTGCAGGAATTTATGACAAAGAGTGGTCATCGTGTGCATGTGACAACAATATCACAAATTCTCCACAAATGTGGCTTGTATGGGAGGGTTGCAAGAAAAAAGCCACTCCTCAAGAAAGGCCACATGCAGTCACGACTGAGCTTTGCCAAAACGCACCTTGAAGATTCTGAGGCAGATGAGACTAAAATTTAATTATTTGGCCTCAACACCAAATGATATGTCTGATGGAAATCCAATACAGCTCACCATCCAAACAAAACCATTCCTACAGTAAAGCATGGAGGTGGTAATATCCTATTATAGGGGTGTTTCTCTGCAGCAGGGACAGGAGCACTTTAGGATAGAAGAAAAAATGGATGGGGCAAAATACCATCAAATTCTTGAGCAATATCTGCTGCCCTCTGCCAGAAAGTTGTCAACTGGAAGAAGGTTTACCTTCCAACATAATTACCCAAAGCACACAGCAAAACTGAGCACACAGTGGTTGAAGGAGAAAAAGGTGAATGTCCTGCATGCCCTAGTCAGAGCCCAGACTTAAACCCCATTGAAAATCTGTGGAATGACTTGAAGACTGCAGTCTACAAACCGTCCCCATCAAATTTAACTGAACTTGAGCAGTTCTGCAAAGAAGAGTGGGTAAATATTACAAAGTTTGTGCAAAATTAGTATAGACAAATCCCAACAGACTAAAGGCTGTAATTAAACCAAAAGGTGATTCAACAAAATACTGACACAAGGGGGTGATCCTTTTTCCAACTCAGTGATTCTGTTTTGTTTTTGTTTTTTTCTTACATTTTGGTGTTACATCTTTCACTTGGATATTATAACTTGTACTAAATAAATACAGCTGGATAACTGTGTCCATCTTAATTTCAGGCTGCAAAGCAACAAAATGTGACTATTTTAAAGGGGAATGATTCTTTTCTGATGCAAACACCAAAATGGGATGTCTTGTCTTTGACCAATATATTATTTATCAAGCATACACTATAATACACTTTTGTGTTCAAATATGAACACAACATATGAACACTTTTACTTCTGCACTATTGAAAGCATCCTAACAAACTGCATCACAGTGTGGTATGGCAACTGCACTGTCTCAGTCCCAATACTGCCCAATACATCACTGGTGTTCAGCGACCCTCCATCAAAGACATTCACCACAAACGCTGCCTAAAGAGGTTCAGAAGCATTATCAAAGACTCCTCATACCCCAGCCACAGACTCTTTACTCCTCTCCCATCTGAGAGACGTCATAGGAGTCTTCGCTGTCGGCCAGCAGACTCTGGAACAGTATCTTTCCCTCAGCTGTCACTCAGCGTACTACTGAACTCCAAACCCAGGTGCTGAATATATATGAAAAGTTTATTTGCAAAAACCGATAAACGCCACTTTCAAACAAAAAAAAAGAGCTGATTGCCGTGCATTGTTCTCTAAATATAGCTCGATCTGAACCCTAAAACACGTTTTGTCAAAAAAGCTGGTATTGTCCACTTTCAAGGCATCGCGAGTTCACGTTTTACTGCAGAAGCTGACAAGCGCCCTTGTTGTTTTTGAACAGAGGCCGATAAGTCCATTTTAGCGAATCAGCGCGCTGTATTCAGGTCAGGTGACAAGGTGAAAAGACGTGCTAGCTGAGAAGAGCAGTGTTGCCAACTTAGCAATTTTGTTGCTAGATTTAGCAACTTTTCAGACTACCCTAGCAACTTTTTCTTCCAAAAGCACCTAGCAACAAATTTAGCTATTTTTACAAATTTATTTGGCAACATTTAGCAAATTTTGATAAGTGACTCAAACGATAAAAAAGGCACACATTTTCCATCTAAATTACACAAAAAGAGGAAACCAAAGGTGCCTAGCAGTACACAATTCACATGAATTAAGTTGGCTGCTATTAGCAATTGTTTAATTTAATAATAATAATAGAATAATTGTTCATTTATGATACACCTTGTTAGTAGCTTGTACTTGAGATTGTTGATCAGTTGATCAAGAAAAATATCTAGAAAAATGAAAAATGTAGTAATTTTCCAGGACATTATCCATAACCCGAAAACACAAAATACAATGCGTAATTTAAAATGTAGGTAAAAAAACGTGTGAATAATAATTATGGAAAATTCCTTCATATTAATAGATTTTGCCCTATTTTTACAGACTTTTCTTAGAGTGTAGCATACGAACTACTAATACACTGCTTAAATCGATAATTGTTATGGATCTATAATTGTTATGTAATCTATATTGTTATTATAATATGTTACAATTGAATGAGTAGTTTTACTAGTTTACTAGCTAATAAAAATTAACTTAAATTGTAATTGTTAACAAATGTGAAAGTGTTAAATAATTCAATGATGTATTTAAAATTAGTTATTTATATTTTAATATTATATTATGCATTTATATTATTTTATAAACACAGCTAAATTAACATATTTACATCGTCACCGCGCAATGACATCGGGTCATTTAGCAACTTTTAGCAACAAATCAATCTTCCTTTAGCAACTTCCCCTGAAAATCAGTTGGCAACACTGGAGAAGAGTTTCGTCAAAGCTAACTAAAAGTGATCGAGGATGGATAATTTCTACGAATTCCTGTGATATCTTCTTCAGGGCGTAAAAGGAAAATAAAAACTGAAACGTTTTCACGGAACCTTGCAAAAACGTTACAATGTGTGTTGCGTGTAATCACATCCATACAGTCTATGATCACAACAACAACAACGTTTGTCAGGCATCTACATTGTCATCTGAGGAGATTACAAAGATTAAAAGAGTGTTTTTTTTTAACTCTAAAACATGAAATGTGGAGTTATCTGCTTTTGCCATAAAACGACTGTTGGAGTTACCTGCTTTTGCTATAAAACAAACTTTTAACATGTAAAAAAAAAAAAACAATTTCAATTAACTTTTTTTTTTTAATTTTGTAAATTACCTGTATTTGTTTAAGTTATTATTACTTAATCAAAACAACCCAAATGCAGTTTGATTGAAAAAAACATACTTTCAGTTTCAATTAACTTTAATTTTGTAAATTACCTGTATTTGATTAAGTTATTATTACTTAATCAAAACAACCCAACTGCAGTTTGATTGATATTACTTGGAATGCGCAATAAAAATAACGTGATTTCTGAAAAATTCTGTTCAAAAGTTTTCAAAACTGCCCTTCGGAAGCAACAAATATAACAAAAATATTTTTGCTTAAGGTTATCATACTGTCAAAATCTCATACCGGCCATGCCTAATATACATACATACTGTGGAAAATTAGATAACAGTAACCACTGTAGCAAGAGAGAAGATTACAACTAAAATTTTGGAGGGTTACAGTTGTCAAAAATAAAGTAGGAATTTTGCAGGCCCTTGCTTTGAAGGACTTCAGCACATCTGCAGCTGCAGGACTAGTTTCTCACACTGCTCCGGTGTTATCTTGGTCCAATCTTCTTCCAGTCTCTTCCATTGTTCGGTAACTGTAGTGGGTTTCTTGACCATAACTTTGTTGCCAAGGATTTTCCAGAGATTTTCAATTGGGTTTAGATCAGGACTC